AACTAAAATTGGTCTTAAAAAACTTAAATTAAATAAGTAAGTATTTTAATTATATTTTTTTATATAATATATTCTAACATTTTTTTTAGTCAATTAGTAGAAGCAGCACAAAAATATGCTGAATATCTAGCAAGAAATAAAATTTTTGATCATATTCCTGATGCACAAAAAAAACTTACTGGAATGACATGGGGAGAAAATCTTGGTCTTAATTATGAAAGTGAAAAAAATGCAATTAAAAGATGGATAGAATCACCTGGCCATAAAGCAAATATTTTAAACAAAGATTATATTTATTTTGGAGCTAGATTTGCTAAAGATATTTGGGTTCAAGCATTTAATTTTTAAATTTTATTTAAATATAAATATAACATGTATATGAAATATTTTTATTACATTCAATAAAATAAAAAAATAAAGTATGTTTCCTATTTATTAATAATCAAATTTTTTAAATAACTAACTATTTTTTAACCTTTCTTTTAGTATTAACAAGAAATTTTTTTTTCTATTCTTTTTGTTTTTCTTATACCTTGTCTCTTCTGAGACATTAAGAAGTGGAAAATTAAGTTGTTCAACATGTCATAAACAAGATGTTATTTTGTATAGTTTTAATAAAAGAACTCATATTAGTGTTGGAACACATAGACGTAGAAATCAAAATAAGAGAATCTATAGATGTAGTATCTGTGGTCATACTGATCACAACAAACGCACACATCAAAGAATATAAGATTAAATAAATTATATGTATAAAATTTATAATTGTTTATTTATTATGTAATACAATTATAGCTAGTTCATAATTAAATAAATAATTTAAATAATAAATAATAAATATGATTGTTATAATATAAATTATTAAAAGATCGCTAATTGTTTTTAAAATTGGTAATCGAAAAAAAAACAATATTAAAAATATAAATGGAAGCATTGCTTTTGTAAAAAGATATTGTACATAAAACCAATTTTTGGGGCAAATTTTCTCATAAAAATTTAGTGTTTCAAGTATATTTAAAATAAATCCTGGTATGACATTTCGTATCAAAGAAATAAGTTTTTTAATAAAACTTAATTCTAAAAAAAGTAATACTAAAAGATCTAATAATTTATTAAACCATTCTCTAATCGATTGTAACAATTCTTTACAAAGACATGCTTTATAATATTGTACTTCACATGTTAAATTTAAATTAATTAATTTTAAAGCATTAATCATTTTATTTTGTGTTTCATAAGCTCTATTATAATCTGTTATCGTTAAATCACTAACTTGTTTTAAAATTTTTAATGTTTCGTCCAAATCAATATTTTCTTTATTCTCAATAGAATTTCTTATTTCTGCGATCTTATTATATAAAATAATTTTTTGTGTTTTCAAATAGCTATCATTTGAACTATCTGAGGCAGTATCAGAGTCTTTATTTTTAGAAGAACTTGCATTATTAGACATGATTAAAATACATTATTAATTTAGAAGTATATTTATAGTTTTTAGCATATAATAATTACTTTAACATATTTTATTTATTGCATAAAATATAAATATAATTTATACATAATATATTTAAATCTTATTTATAAAAAAAATTTACAATCCAAATAATATGATCATATATAATTTCAATATAATCAAAATCATGTTCATAATAAAAATTAAATATACATGAAATAACATAAACATATAATATTCCAACGATGATCTAAAACAAAAATCAGTTAATATAACATCATTTAAATTTATAATATTTTTAAATTTACCTTTATCAAGATAATAAAAATAGTTATTGTAGTCTATTAAAAAATTATAATTAATATTATTATTATATTTAAAATTCTATTCAAATATTATTATACATACAAAACTCATCAAAACAATAATATAATTATTGTATATTTCATAGAAAAAAATTATCCATCTATACATATAAACCATTCTCATACCATAAAAATATATGTATAATAAAATGAGTGTAGCAGGAGGATGTGAATAGACATCAAAAATAACATTTTGATTAATAAATGAAAATGGTGTTCATTTTTGATTTCGTTGAAATTTCGGAAGAAAGTTTGAATCATTCATATTTGATCAAATAATTTTACTTACTTGACTATTTATATATTTTATTGTAATACAAAAAAACTAAAAAATCATACATTTTATATTTTTATCGAATAAAAAATTTACTAAAATAAAAATACATGTTATAACAATAATATCGACAATACAATTAATAAAATGACTAATAAGATTTCTTTTATTTTTTTGCATATTGTCTACTTCTACATTTTTTTTTTAATATTAATCCTTCTTTCTAGGGATTTGAATTTTCCTCATTAGCAATAAGTCTTCGTAAACTCTCTTCAGCATCAGCAGCATCAATTGGAACAGGTACCTGAACATCATTAAATTTTTGTAAAATATTATCTGTTTTTGAATTAATAAGATTTTTAATTTCTTCATTATCAATTTTACTAATTGCATCCTTAATCGCTTGGATATCAGTATCGAGTTTTAAATTTTTTAATGCATCTTGAACAGCTTTTTCAACAGTTGGTGCAATTTCACCTAATTGCTTTAATAATTCATTATAATTATCTTGCCATGTTTTAATTTCTCTGTTTTTATTTCTAAGAATTTCTTCAATTTTTGCAGTCAATAATTGTTTTTGTTGTAATGTATATGTTTGAACAACAGGATCAGGTTGAGAATTCGACATTTTTAATAAAAATTAATATACAAACATGTTTCTTTTATATTTAAATTCATATTAAACTTTATTTTATATTAACAATATAAATAAATTATATAAATATAATATTAATCTATTTAGAAATATTAATGATTTCTTCATTTATTTTAATTTCACTCGTTTGTTTAATTGTTTATTCATATACTCAAGAATTTTAATAAAAAATAATTATTAAATTCTTAAAAAAATGGTTCTATGTTTTCTTGCGGGTTTAGTTACTGGATGGGCAGCTACATGCCTCTTTAGTACTAGACTTTATAATAAAACTAATCGATATTATAATACATCTGGTTACCATAAACCCAATGCTAATGTTTATAATACTACTTTAAAAAAACTAAAATCTTAAAATAATATTGTAAAAACTTCTTATAATAATATAAGAAATTTATATAACTGAACAAACACTTTATATCAAAAATCACAAAAACTTTTAACAGAAAAAGAATTACAACTTCAAGAAGAAATAAAAAAATATAATGATGCTAAATCTAAACTTGATGAATTATACAAAGATTTTATTAAACTTGCTAATGATAATGAAAATTTAAAACAACAATTAACAAAAGAACATGAACAATATTTAAATAAAGCTAAAGCTCATGCAATCACCAAAAATTCATTAATCGAAGCTAATAATAAACTTAATGAAAAAACTCAAGAAGCAAAAAAAATAAAGATAACTATGAAAAAACATTTAAAGATCTTCAAACTGAAATCTTAAACAATTATAAAAAAGAATTACTTTTACAAACAAAAGAAAATGAAATCAAAAAAATAACAAATCAAGTTAGAAAAGATTATGAAGATGCTAAAAATGAAATCAAAAAGACAATTAAAGAAAATGATAAATTTAAAAAAAAATATGAAGAAACATTCGAAAAACTTTTACAAGAAATATTAAACAACCATAAAAACAAATTAACTATCAAAAATAATAATGATAGAATTAACGATTTAAAAGATAAATCTAAAGAAACAAATAATAAATTAAATGAAATGACCAAAAGAAAAGATGAATATGCTAAAAAATATCAAAAAATGATAAAAAAACTTAATAACGAAACTTTAGAACATCAAAAAACTAAAGAAAAATTAAAATCTGAAAAACTTCGTCATGAAGAAACAAAAAACCTTTACAAAACTGAAAAAGAAAAATTAGAAAAAGAAAAAGAAGCACATGAAAAAACCAAAAAAATCGCTCAAGAAGAAAAAGAAAATCTACTGAAACAAATAAATGAATTAATCGAAAAAAATAAAAAACTGGATAATCAAATTAAAGATGAAGAAAAAAAGAAAAATGAATTAAAAAAAATTGTTAAAACCCTTGAAGATAAATATAATAAAAAAATTGGTAAGTTAAATGATTTATTAAAGAAAAAAAATGATGAAATAAAAACACTAAAAAATGATCAAAAAATGTTAAAAATAAAATATGATCAGGCACGTAAAAATACTAACAAAATAAAAAATGATTTAAAAGATTTACAAGATTTAATAGAAGAAAGTAAATCTTTAAAAACTGATCATGATAAACTTTTAATTAACTATGATTCTTTAAAAAAAGAAAAAGAAAGAATCGATAAAGAAAATGAACTTTTAAAAGTTCAAAATTCTGATAATGAAAAAAAATTAAATGATATTAACATTAATATTACAGAACTAATTAATCTTATTAGATCAATGCCACCAAATCTTTTACGTGAAATTAATATTCATATAGATAAATTAAAACCAGAAGT